ATGCCGTCATCTGGACTCCGTCTTGTCACCGGTTCAAACGGGTAAGGGTTTAGAGTGAAGTAGACAGTTGCGCGTCGGTTTCACTCAAATCTCGTCTCTGTCTCCAGTCACCATCCCTGCTCTTGGGCATATGGTGGACATCACCGAAATCGATGGTCGAACTATCGTCATCAGATGCAGCATAGGCTAAAATCCTTTTGGATTATACTCTATTACAGAGTAAGGTAAGCCGAGTAATCCTCAGCAGGGCTGCATACTGACTGTTCTCTTTAACAATAGAGCAAACAGCTGACATGGCCAGTAACTTCTAACAGTCACAGGCACACTTCTTTGATGTTTTAAAAAGCCCACATGCCTTTTTACCTCACTGTGATTAATTAGTTCACACCACACAATAACTGATTGTAGATACACCGCTGACTGCCATTCTTAAAAAAAAGGCTGTTGGAATAAAAGTTAGTTCAGTTTTTTTTAAAGGCACCTTCACGAAGTCAAATGCGACAGAAGTTATGGGCACCCGAAACAAATAGAGGAGTTTTGCACGATTATGATATTGTCGATTTTTTTAAAGAAAAACTCAACCCTTTATCCATATAAATCTTTTAAGGCTCTGCCGATTGGTGGTGTAAAAATGGACGGAAAGGGATTCTACATTCGTTAGATGAAAAAAATGGATAAAATGAGCTAAAAGATGGCAAGCTCTTTTAAGCTTTTTACACTGCCTAACGAATGAGGATTTCTCTTTTTATTAGATCGAAAAGCTGTTAGGACGTTCTCGGTTTATAATTGTTGATTCTCTCGAAGATGTACGCCTCAATACATTAAGTTTAATACCAAGCGGGGGCATTAGTAAATTGCAGCCCATTGCGTATGTCGAGATGAACTGGCCATACTAGTAGCACAAGTACTGGCTAAAGGCCCAGACAACTCTTGCGCGACTCTGTACAAGGTCAGTTGTTTTAAACTTCCGCGGTACGCCTCTTCTTTGAAATAAGTTGAGAACTTCTTGGAAAAGAGTATTTATTTGCGTGTTTAGTTAGTCTAACAGTATTATCGAACCATAGGTGTTTCTTACACGAAAAAAAAACATTTGGGTTCTAATTTCCCAGATGCCAGTTGGTTTAATGCTCGAGCAAAATTGATAGGAAATTAACATGAAACTGCATAAATACAAGGGAAATTAAAATTAGAGCATTATACTGAAGAGACAATCACCAATTTATCGTTCAAATACCTTTCCACCAGAACCATCTAGTTGGCGCTCTATCGTTGCGATCGAGAGCTTAGGTGACAAGAAAATAGGCCTTAAATATTTGGTAAGTCAGGGGTCTCCGGATTCCAACTTCCAATACTACAGAATGGAGAGTTCGAATATCGCTGACCGATTATGGTTAATAAGTCATAATTTCCAGTCCCTAGTAGTGTAGCGTGCGTAAACTCAGTTTTGGAAATGACCAAACACCAAGGCTTCAGAAAAATAATGGAAAAAGAAGAAACTTCAAATGCTCATTATAAATAGCATATAAATTAGTTTCAGGTGAAAACAATCATGCCTCTCCGTTAGGTGCTCGTAGTTCTGTTGGCAGTGTCGGCTAAGCCAAAGCCTTGCACTTTTTATTGTGGGTTCAAAACCTGTCAAGGGTACCGACTCGTTTGCAGTTGGGTATTCCGACAAATTGTGTGCCTTGCATTGTTTACTTCAGCCTGCATGAGCGTACGCAATACCCGGATCTCTAGATATGCCAACGGTCTTCTCATATCTATCTACAAGACTGGATGCAAATTATTTCCGATTACGCAGTAAACTTACTGTATTAGATTTGGCGGATCTCACAGGTTGCAGTAAACTGGGCGGATAGATCGACATGAGCAGAATTAAACCCACGCCGCCCGGTGAGGCCTCATAGTTCCCAGGTGGTTAGAACTTTCATTTTACTCTTTACACTTTATCTTTACTGTTATGGGGTTTGAATCTCGCCGAATTATTTAAGTGTTTGCCAATTCGGTCAAATGAATTACCTAAACCTGTCAAAAACACCAAACTGACTACCAAAGAATGTTTCAGGAGGTAGGGGGTTGCGACAGTTCAACTACCTGTTCAGCTCCATATAAGGATGACGGCAACAACGGAATGGCGGCAAAGAGGTACTGCAGGGGGTACAAGAGTGCGATCAATGACATGACGCAGGCTGTCAGCCGACTGCAGTGGGAAGACTGGAGCAGAACCTGGAAAAAAAGGGGGGAAGAATTAGTTTTCTTTGTTATTAGAGGTGTATCCGACAGAACAGAAAATTTCTGATATTCATTCTTTGCTTCCTGGGGCCAGGCGGTCTCTCCTGAAATTCTTACGTTTTTTTTCGAAATTCTGCTTAGTCAATAATAAACGTTAAGCTGATAGAAGACTGACGCCAAGTCACGAAGTTTCACTTCGGGCTATCTGTGTCACTTCCAAGTAAGTGTTACCGCCCTAAACTGGAGCCCATTTTTCTAGCGCGAACTTTAAGCATTACCTCGGATAATCAAAATGAGCTTTCGTGATCTTAGCATGTATTAAATCAGATCAGCGTGACCTTGCTACGGCGCATTAAAGGCGACTAAAATCAGCATTTTCATAATAATCCATATAAATCGCCCGAAAGAATAGAATATATTGCCAATACAAACGAACATGAGATGACTGAGACAAGACTTTTATTCTTCTGACGTTTCGAAATCCGTCTCCAATGATTTCTAAACGCCATGCGAATAAAAGTCTTCTCCCAGCGATCACGTCTTCTTCTACTCAGTAAAATATAACTGATTCCTCGTAGATCAAATAGCTACGTGTGAATTTCAGATTCAAAGCGGCGAGTACTAGAAGCCGCAATGAGCTAACTCGTTCACCTGTGAAAAAGAGGCTTCTAATAGGATGCAGATTGGCTTTTGCACCTGCACCACTTACCTTCTGTTCCAGGAGGACAGCAAACAGCACTTTTAGGAATTTCTGGACGCCTAAAAGCTGTAGAGGAAGGTGGAGAGGAAAATCGACCAGGGAGAAACGATTTTTGTCTGGAAGTGCAAATATCACAGGCTCGCCGAACTCTGAAGGCTCCAAAAATACCTGTAATTGAAAGGTTTGGTACAGTAGCCGAGCATTTTGGATGGAACATGTATATTTATCCAAATCACATACTAACAACAGATTAAATGTATTAATAAAACATTAAAGTGAAGTTAAAAGTAGAGTCTGGTCTGAGTAAATCTTAAAAAGATTGCAACGGCAACCTTGAAGTTAGAAGGCAGAAATAGACACGCCACTGGAGTGGAAAGGGAGAAAAGTTTAGGCGAATTCGAACATAAAGCAGTGTATGTTTCAAATTTGGAACTCACTAAGGTCCATTTAACCCATTACCTCTCGGTGATCTCATATGAGATCACTTAAAAATTAAGACTTTCGTAATTATCTGTCTGTATAAACGCATATTTAATCTTCATGGTATACCTATTAGTCATATTTCTCTGATATCCACATGAGATTTTTAAAAAATTCGCTCTAAATTAATTTATATACAAGTTTGAGGAACCATAGGTATCCAAGTTTCATAACAAAAACCAAAGTGGTTAAAATTATGGGAGGTAATGGGTTCATATTGTTATATTAATCTGGGGATTACAATAAGTGGTGATAATTAACCGTTTTGATAATCAAAATATATACACGAATGATAATACTTGGACATGAGGAAGCGACACTTCGATGCATTGACCGTTGCACCAAATGCACGGTTACTTCTTAGAGGGTCAATACGAACAGGATTCACATTCATTTGGTTGGGTCGTTAAGAGACGAAACAGCGTGACACGAGAGTGATTTTTTTCCAACAAGAGGTACTTTCGTTTTTTTCCTTCAGTGGACGCCATGACCGGCCTAATACCATGGGACTGGCTCATTGATAGCCAGTCATCGTGACGTCAAGGGCAAGGAACCCAAGGCTCTCTTTGTGCCTGTGGCAGAAGCAACTGTAAGAATACGCAGCCGGCCGTTAGGGAGTCAATAACTATAATGGCAGGATTCTACTTAAGATCAGTGCGCAGCAGATTCGCCTAAACAGCCACAACACGGCCAGGACGCGCGCTGATAGCCACACTGATACGCATTAAACGTACTAGTGAGAAAGACTAGCTGCGATGCGGAATTCCAGACTAACCAGCTCGTACCCAATATTTGATGGAAAAGGGGAGACCAAAAGTGATGCATTCGGGGAAAATATGCGCTGAAAATATTGAATATCACATGGCTAAGTCACGTTGAAACCCAACAAAAGTGGCAAACAGAAGATAGGCAAATGCATTAAGGAAAATGAAGATGTTGAAAAGACCCAGCATACTGAAAGGCACGACTCATACTACGATTACGGGGATCCTGAAAAAAAGTATTGGCACTGCGTTAATGAGATAAACGAGGCAATTCAGCAACCGTGGTCCGATGATGGCCCCCTATCGCGGCTGTAACAGCAAATGGACGCCGGAAACCAAAAACAGCGCATGCTAGTTACGGAATAGAAGTTTAAAAGAAAGGTTGAGAGATGTAGGACAAGAAGTAGAAGTAGTTCAGAGAGGCCAGCTGTGACAAAATGAGGAACTTGACGGCGGTCTACGGAATGCAAATTACTCGAACATCTTCGCTGCTCAACTTTAGTAGAAACAAGTTGCTGCCAAAATGATTGATCCTGGCATTCAAAGCTGAGCATTTTAGAACCTAAAAGCAGTCACGCTCAATCCGCGACGGTTCAAGTAGTGCACTTTCGTAAAGTGAAAGCAACGCTGAAATTAATTTGCTGTCAACTTTGATACCGATAGACAGAGCGACCTAACAACAATAGATGTACAAGCAGACTTGATC